AAGATGAAAATCGAATCCAGTGAGGATATCTTAGAGCTGATTGAAGAACAAAGAAATCCCAACATTTACGTGGAGTTGGAGAAGCGAGTAAATGTAGGGATTCCAGGGACCGCGCAACAAAGCTTCACGCAAATGATGGCGTCCCAAGGTGTATTTCCGAGTTCTTTTGGTGTTGGTAGATCTTCATTTTCCCACGAGACCCCATATTCACATCAAGCAGGCCCTAGTTCATTTACACATACTGGATATCCTCGGGGCGCTGATGATCATCAAACCTCGGGTTGTTCGAACCAACCAGGCCATTCTCGTGACGATGACAATAATTATGACCAAACCAACACGCAGAATGGTGACTCAGGCAACGAAGACAAAGAGGTCAATGAGAAGCAAATGTTCCTAATCCAGGTACAATTATCGAAATCGGAATTGGGTTGACCTGCACACATCACACATTTCCCATAATAATCGCACAATTAAGTTGATTGCGCGTTTCGCATAACACATGTCCCATAATAATCGCACAATTAGGTTGATTGTGCGATTCGCATAACATGTAACATAATAATCGCACAATTAGGTTGATTGTGCGATTCGCATAACATGTCACATAATAATCGCACAATTGGGTTGATTGTGCGATTCCCATATCATATCCCATAATAATCGCACAACTGGGATGATTCGCCTAGTCTTCAACCGCATAATTAACGAATCGTATATCCAAATCGAAAGCCGCATAATTTACGAAGCATATCAAAATCGAAAGTGCTTCGCATATTATTCGCAGTCGCATAATTTACGACTATCTGCCATTTTTTTCGCATATCCATATGGACCGCATTGATTGATTGTCTGCACCGCATATCAAAATCGAAAGTGCTTCGCATATTATTCGCATACGTTACGCACCGCATTGATTGATTGTCTGCAACGCATATCCAACTCGAAAATGCTTCGCATATTGTTCGCATAAGTTACGCACCGCGTTGATTGATTGTCTGCTTTTACACCTAAAAACAATGACGATTTGCTTGCTTCCTCATTAAGTTGTTGAGTTGAAGTATATCTACCTAGCCTTAAATGATATATGTATTTATTAACCTTTCATTCTCTTTGTTGAAGAGGCGACCTTTCACTTCTCAAAACCC